GGGAGGGAGGGAGGGAAGGAAGGAGGGAAGGAGGGAGGGGTGTGTTCTTGAGAATGGCCGGAAGATGAAGTTGGAAGGGATTCCTTGCGGCTCTGTAGGCTTAAAGCAGGGCACCCGTGGCTTTGCCATAGTAGACAAGGAGCTAGATCTAGACTGAGAACCACAGTTCCCAAGGGAGGGAAGAACCAGGAGATGCAGATGTGGGAATAGTACTCGGCACGAAGAAAGAGGCTCAGGATGTGGAGCAGGAGAAAGGGGAAATAAAGGACTGTACTTGTTGGTTTGCAAATAAAGCCAAACAAAGAAGGGCTGAATCCTGGCTCCCCAGTAAAGTAACCTTGGACAATTCATTTAGCTTCTTTCAGTGAGAAACCTAAACTACATAAGTGATTTTCAAACTGAGTTCTGAGGGAACCTAGGTTTCTGCAGAGGTCCCTTGTGGTCTATCATAAGGAAGAGAGGAGGCTCACCAGGAGATGTGGGCCCCAACTTTAACCAGACAAGAATTGTTGTTATGCATTGGAGTTCCACTTAAAGCCCGCTTGAAAAAAAAGGGTGCTTCTGCTACAACTAAAGTTCTGAATAGCAGTGGCCTGGGTGACCTTTCTAATACCTCGTGGCCTTAGCAGTCCTTGATCCTGCAGAGCAGAGGGGACCATCTGGACATTGTATTTTACTCTTGCCCCGCAATTGTGTTGATGGCACAGCTACTGCATTTCCGAGAGCCTGTGCTCACCACCTGAGCAGAATGACAGGGATGGTAAGTACACCAACTCCAAGTTCACTGCGAGGCTGAGGCCAAAATGAAATTCACTTTTAAATTTCACATGGTGATACAGAAGCACAAAGGAACACTTTTTTCCCTAAACAAAATTTTGTGTTCCTATGATCTAGGATTCAGTGTGTAGGCGTCTTGCATTGGCCACAAAGATATCATAGGTCAGAAATAAATAATAATGGGTCCAGAGGCCATTAAAAAAAAGTTACCCAATTCCAATCAAGAAGGAAGAATGCAAAAACTTATCTAGTCGGTCCACCTGGGAGCCTAATTACTATTCAAATACAGTGCCCCTCTTCTGAACAGATACTTGGAATGTACGAAAGAATAAAGCAAAGTTAGTACCATTACATACTTTAAAGTCTACCTTTATCTGAAGGTTACAGGCAGGAAAAGGCATGGATGAGAGGGAGATGGGAATCTTACAAAATAAGATCTTCAAAGCCCTGGCTTAGGATGGAGATCCCCTTTCTGTGCTGTTCCTTGGCTGTCCGTATCTCACGGGGCATTAGAAGGCCACAATGTCACTCTACTTCAATTCTGAGAACAGACAAGCAGCAATAATGTGATCTTACCTGAGTCCTTCCTCGTCACCCTAAAAGAAACAGAAAGAAACAGCATTAGAAATTGGCATCGGAAGAAACCGATTTAGACTTCCTTTCCCATCCTGAAAGCAAAGTGTGTGTTTATTGTTAACAAGAGACAAATCAGCAGATGTCTAGGGGCTAAGACAAGGGCTAACACAATCCTGTGTTCAAACTGCCCCACAAAGGCAAACTGATCATTTGCCCTTGCAAGCAGATCTAGGAGGCTTAAATAGTAGCTTTGCTGTTTTACTTGTATGGTTGGCAGTATTTAGTTCTGAGCAAACTGAGATCCCAAAATAGCAGCGGGTCTTAGGCAAAAGCTGACCAGCTCCCAAGGTATCAAGCAGTTTCCCTCAAAGACTCATTTCTGCCTTGGTCTTGCATTTTTTTCTCCAAAGAGAAACACAGCAACTCTAATATACAGAACACCGTCGTGAAAAGGGCACTGAGCTGGGCCTTAGGAAACTGGGATTCTGGTCCAAGCTCTGTTGTTTATTAGCGCTGTGCCCTTGGGCAAGCTATTGAATTAATCTGGACCTTGGTTTTCTCTGTAAAAGGGTAGTTCTGGCATTTGATGATCCAGATCACTCTCAGCCAAACAATGGCATTTCTGTTTCTTCTTGTTCACTCTGCAAAAACAATGTGTGAGTGTTATTTTTCCAGGTATTTCATCCTCTGGTCCTAACTTTATCAGTGATAAAAAAAATTATTTAAATGAGCCTCTTTCTTGTCCAAACTAGATTTTTCTATACTTTGGGGTGTAGTGTTCTATTAAATATTAATTACGTGTCCAGGTAACTTATGATTTTTACTGACTTGTGTGCATTCTATCAACCGCTGAGAAAGAGGTATTAACTTTCCAGGTATGATTATTGAATTATCCACCCCCGCTTTAATTCTGTCCATTTTTCTTCAGATATTTTTAGTCTTATCATAAGCAAATACATGTGAATGCCTGTTACATCTTCCTGAAGAACTGACCCTTTCATCATCATGAAAAGTTACTCTTTTTCTCTGATAATACTCTTTGTCTTGATATCTGTTTTATCTTATGTTGGCAGGGCCAATCCAGCCTAATGCTTACTGATTTCATGGTATGTCTCTTTCCATCCAGTTGCTTTCAGTCTGTCTGTATTGTGAAAGTCTGTCTCTCTTAGGCAGCGTGTAGCTAGGTCTTACTCTTTTATCCATTCTGATCATCTCTGCCTTTTAATAGAAATGTACAGTCCATTAACATTTAAATGTTATTATTAATATGGTTAAATTTAGCTCTACCATTTTATGATTTGTTTTCTGTTTGTTCCTCTGTTTTTGTTCCTCTTGTTGTCTTTTCCTACCTTCTTTTGGGTTTTTGAAACACTGAATTCCATTTTAATATATCTATTGGCCTTTTAGCTTTATCATTTTGTCTTATTTTTAGTGACTTCTAATAAGAATTATGATAGAAATCCTTAAATTTTGAGGCTCCATAAAATTAAATTGTATCACTTAAAATTAAATGTAGACACCTTGAAACTCTACAGGCCAATTTATCCTCTTTCCATGTTCTTTGTTATAGTATCGAATATTACAGAATCTACATGTTATGAACACTGCAAGACAGTTAAAATTTTTGCTTAAATAGGCATATACTTTAAAGAGATTAAGAAGGAAAAATAGTCATAATTCAATAGCTGTATATG